TGAATAACTGTATAAGCTTGCCCATATGATGATCTTAGTCCGTAATACACTGGCTATCATTAATACAGGTTTGATGGGTAATAGCACTAAGTGATTTGACTCAGCAGCATTGCTTTCTTTTCAAATGGGAACATACTGTTGCCAGGAAACATTTTATACATTATACTGCATATCAAGCAGAGTCTCTTAACCTTATGATAACACTGCTCTTCCACACTGCCAGACATAACCACCCCAGGACACTACTCTCTGTAAGAAATGATGTATTAGTTAAGAATTAATTTAGCACGGACATTGTGTTCTTCAGAAGGAGAGAGCTGTTTCTCTGTTGCATTAAACTGTGTCTTATTATTTCTCTGACAGTTTAGATTCACAGTGACCTCCTGTAATTGCAGAATTTTTAGTACTTTTCATTATCTTGCCTGTTTTCTCAGCTTTTAATTCTCTGCATTTTACACAGATCTAACTGACACCATGTTAACCTCCTCAGACGGATTTTTATAGGGGGGAAAGTTCTCATCAGAGTGAGTGTATAGGTTGGGGGGGAGACACTCAGCATTTCCAAGATGTTTGAAAGCCCCCGAAAATCAGCCAAAAGAATAAGGAAGACCTCATTTCCCCCCCTATAAGATAACACGTCTACCCAGCTGCAGGTGACTCAGATCCTGGGTCTCACACACTCACACCAGTCACACACCTGGAGGTTAAATATAGAATAAAGTTTTCCCATTCCCACATGTTTTGAGTGGAGGCAGAGGCAGGGGATTTTTGACCCCCTGCCTCCGCACTATGCTCCACTGAGTCACTCCAATAGTAGATGTGGTTTGGGGGTCTACATCTCAGAAGGTGACTAGACCGTGGCCTTCAGTTGTGTTCCTCCCACCAAAACACCCACATTACATCCAAGGGCTCGTCCTCCTAGGGCGGAGGCATTTCCTGAGGGCGAGAGAGAGAAAATGGTAAAGATGAAAAATACAGAGAGGTCATGATAGTACACACATTACATAGAAATGCTGATGGGCTTAGTATAATAAAGAAAAAAAAGATAAGTGGGGTTTTTTTGTAAGACAGAGGAGGGCTTAAAATAACGTGATTGTAGGGCTGACTAAGGGCAGTCAACTCAAGGACATGCATCCATGTTCCCAAGAGAGGGTGCAGATGCTAACCCCTCTTTTCTCCACTCTTCTGTGACGTCCCAGCATCCAGTTTTATGGAGACAGGAAATCTGTTAATACGTAAAAATGCTCAGCTATCAGGGCCAATCCCCTCTGGTGAAAGGGGGAACAATGGGTCCCAAGTCCTACTCAGTAAGACTGTGTAGGTGTTGAATCCAAACACTCAACATCAAGGACAGATGTGCCTAGAAAACGCACAAAAGGCGAAGACTTACACACAATAAAAGCTTAAAATGTTTTTGAGACAAACTCTGTTGTGTCAAAGAACCTCAGTCTCTGAACACAAGTTATTTAAATGCTGTATTGTGAGGCTTTATTTCTTTCACCCCATGGTTTCAGTGATTTCTCTGTTCCAATGAAACAACCTTTACTTTGGATGAAGTATGAAGATGCCAGGGTGGCTAAAAATATCAAGCATTTTAGAAGTTGAGACTGGTAAAAAAAAAAGGTATTTGTATGACTTGTAATTCACTTTTGAAAGTGAATATTAGGACCACAGAGGTTTAAATGGTCACATTTTGCAGTGCTAGTGAATTGGTTCCAGGGATTGTGATGTAAACTAGTCAGCTGGTCCACTTCTTTGGTCCAGACTCATATTAATTTGATGCATTAATAGTTTCTCTTTTAAATCACAAACTGAAAAAAAGCTAACACTGTGGGTGAGAGGAAAGAAGCATAAGAGACCAAGGGACTGTGCTGAAAAGCTGAACAGCAAAGGCCCACCAGTCCCTTATGTTGAGTCGAGCTGTACCAAATTTCACACACTCACCAATATAAGTCCCCTAAATATGTTTGAAGTCTTCATTGAGATTCTTGAATTATTGATGAAAACATGCTGTATCTCACAATGTTAACAAAGGTAAAAATACTGTCCGGATCAGCACCAAAATTAAACTGATTCTTTCTTGGCCTATGCCTCATCCTTCCACCAAGTTTTGTGGATACCTGTTTAGTTGTTTTTGCGTAATCCTGCTGACAAACAAACAAACAAACAAATGACCTCTGGCGAAAACGCAACCTCCTTGCTGGAGCTAATTAAGATAAAGAAGAAACAAATGCAAGCCTTTAGTGTTTGAATCCACAAGAGTTGTCTGCTGTTAAATCATGTCAGGGCTCATGAAACATTTTTCCTTTGTTGATCCAAAACCAAGTATGTAAATACACATATAGCACTGCTCTGCTTTTGTATTTACATATAAGGGAAGGGGGTCACCATGTTGATTGCACTGGAAAGAATTTTTGAGAACTGGCAACTCTTAGGCCTATGCATTATACATTATGGTTGTACGGGATTGAATGAGGCTGCCACTGAAATCTCTCATGGCTGGACGATCTCCAAGAGCTCTCTCCTGTTTCCTCTGTGCAAACGTGAAGCTCTTTGTCCGTGTTCACCTCTCTCACACGTCTCTACACAGGGCTGCAGCAGACGCAGCGCTTTTCTCTCAATGGTGCTTTCCAGTGATAACTTGGCGGATGGTAAAGAGGCCCATTAAAACCGAAAGGATGTGAAGTTCCTCATCTCCAGAGTGAGAGGACACCTTTTGTGCATCTGCACCTGTGTGAATACATGTATATGTGGTGTGTGTTTGTGTGTGCTATTTTGAGTGTGTGTGTGTGTGTGTGTAATGAATCTGCACAACAAGGGCTCATGTTAACCCTCTAGGGTGTGTGACATCATCGTTTTCAAGCAGGTTTGCAAATTAAAAAAAAAAAAAAAAAGAAAGCCCAGACACACACACACAGACAAACAAAAATACACACACAAACAAAAAGACTTAACTGAGCCACACCAATGGGAAAGTTTCTTTTGATAAAGACCTTTCTCAACACCTGTTTCCAAAAAACCAAAACAATTGGTGGGATATAATTGTCAGGCTGATTATTTTTTTTAAATTCAACTTAATAGTCTAATTTGTATAGCGCCAAAACATGATCTAAAGGCACTTTAAGGCTGAGACATTGCAACACTAGAGAGGTGGTAGTGTCAATGTCCAAATTAAAACTTTTTATTGCATCAAGTAACTAAGTAAAACCAAACTCACAGGAAAAAATTGACGTGGACAAACATCATTCTTAAAATGACAAAAATAATCCTATATTATATATATATATATATATATATATATATATATATATATATACTGCAGCCAGCCACCAGATGGCGATCCAGACACTTTGGCTCCACTTTCTGAGAACTGTCCTGTCTCCCATTTTTATATACATTCTATAGACTGAAATATCTCAACAACTTCTATAGATTCAGAGGGGACTTTGTATAGGCATTCATGGTTTCCAGTGGATGAATCTAATTGACTTTGGCAATCCCCTGGCTCCACCACTGAGCTGAAGTTTAAACTTGTCTGGTCTGGTTGTTTTGTTGAAATATTCATGTCCTCCTCATGATAAATACATTTTATTCATCCCCTAACTTTGTCTCTTCCCATCCAATTTTAATTTGTCCAATATGGCAATCTAAGATGTGTGAGCATTTGGATGACAGTACAGCTTTGCCTCATGGAGCTGCTACCATGGCTGCAGTCTCTTATTCTTGTTAAATATTTATTAATCTCATGAGGTCAAGTCTACAGTCAAGTCTCAAGGTGATTTGAATGTTAAGTCCACATTTTGCAAGTTCCAAATTTAAAGTCTTAAGTCACCACGTCTGATAATTCACATTTTAAATGACTCCAGTCTCCAGTCCAATCTTCTTCTACTGCTTTTTCAAGAGCATCCTCATCGTTTCTGTCGCTTCCTCTTCTGTCATTCTGCCTCCCCCTCTCCTGTTGCCCTTCCCTGTGTCCTCTCCTTGTTTTTCCCTCTCATCCACCAGCCCTCGCTTTATCTCCTCTCATTTCCTGAGGTATTGGGGGTATCGTCTCGCCACTGAGTCTGAGCTTATGCTTGTCTCTCCTTGCACCACGGAGCTGATCTCTCCCTTTAGACTCTTAGACTTGGATAATGTTCCTGTTAGTCTGAGGCCTCTCTCTCTCTCTCTCTCTCTGCTCTGTACTGCCTGCAAACTGCACATCCATCTGTGAAAGTTGGACAGGTGGATGGAGAGAGGAGAAAGGAAAAGATCAATGAGTGGATGATCAATAGGAAAGCCCTTGATCCCTCACTCATTCCTCCCACTGGACATCTGAGACACTCACAGAGAGCTCTCCCTCCCTCCTTCATCTCCCTTTCTCTCTGCTGGACAGTGAGATTATGCCATGGATAAATACCAGTCTTCTGTGATTCCTTAAACATTTAATTTTAACCATATGATACACTGAAAATACTGATCAGTCAAATACATGAACCTGAATCTCTGACATGTACATAGTCTCTGGTGCATCGATATTTAGCAGAGGCCTGCGGTTGCTGTTGCATTTAGCTAGTTTTTTGTTGTCTGATGTGACACCTGCTGGTGTCTTGCTATAATGCAGCTTGGTAATCAGCATGTTTTCCCGCTCAAAGTGGCCTAGTTGCAGTGTGGAGAGCTGGCAGCCCCTCCTCTGTGTAGGAGAGAAAAAAAGTGCCACTAAGAAAAATCCCTCAGGTTAAAGCAGACATCACAGCAGAGTAAACAGAATACCTGTCTCGTCTGCTACTCACCATCTCCCAAACTAAAATATATATAATCCTTTGATATTCCTTTGATGAGTCTAATCATGATCATGCAAACAGGAGACCATATTATATTCTGCAACCTAAAAAAACTTAACATATGTCATTTGTTTCAACTTTATCAATTACTCCAAATATACACCAAGGGGAGACATGCTGCTGATTTCTGCCTGTGAACCAATGAACAGCACCAAATATGTCCTCATCACTGACGGTTCTCTGTGTCTCTGCTATTAGAAAAGACGCTGTGAAGAAGCCTGAGCGTAAACATGGCTTTACACCACACAGACCAAGTCGAAGCGGGATGTTGCACGGTTGAACCCGCCCACGTTTTTCTCGTCATCAGTGAGCGTCCACGCACTCAGCACCACTGATCGTTAAAGCTATGCCTCGAACTAAGACCTGCGCAGTTGCTCAACGACATGATGTGTAGATCTGCGATGGCGCGTGCACAAGAGCACGACATTTGTGACAAGAAACAATACATCCACATCTTCTCTGCACGATGGCTGACTGACTGTCTTTGGGATTTTGGGGACGATACGAGCGGCTGCTTTTGCCAAATCCAGATGTTTCTCCTTAAGAAGTGATGTTGCACACGACGGGAAAAGTGATGTGCAGAAGTTTTTCTTTATTGTTTCAGCCACGAGGACCCCGATGATAAACACTGGGTCAGTCACTGTGCAGCGCTTTGACGAGGACGCAGACGGTTCATGAGCGAGACATATTGCCTTTCAGGTGCTTTTACGCGCAGCCGCCGCCGTGGAGGAAAAACCGAAAGTATAACGGCGTGAAGTCACTAAGAGAGGCATGGTGGCAGAGATGGCCAGCTGCGGAGCGGCTTGTCACCTGGAGGACGGGTAAGACCTTTAGAAAGTGATAAATAAAACCTCGGGCTGCACGTCAGTGTTTGTGTTCTTGCGCGGAAGACATGATGCGTCGTGGGTACAGCGTCAACAGAGGAAGTGGTGAAGACGAGTCTTTTGTTGCAGGCTGGTACGTTTCCACCACCGTGGGTCAATGAGTCTTTCTCTAAATAGCGATTTCGTAATTTAAAATAACGAGCCAATAACTCAGAATTCTAACTTGGTCTGTCATAATTTTTAATCTCAAAAACAACTCAACAGTCTCTACTGTCCTCGCTGTTTGGCAGAGTGACACTGGAGCAGGACCTTACCCTATTTAATAAGTAAAGATCTCAAGCATTCTTAATAGATATTAGACAAACACAAAACTCCTTTATACAAGAAGAATACCCAGATATGTTGAAGTCAATGTAATGTAAAATTACTCTGGACAAAAACCTAAATAAATAATAATAAATAATTAAAAATTACTACATAAATATAATAACTAATAACAAATGTTAGTATGGTAGGTGCTAAGAATACCTATCTCTTTTATAGTCTTAATACCAATCTCTTTTATAGTCATACAAGATATATTATCTGTTGTATATTGTGACCACAGGTGATAGCGATGACTCATTCTCCGCTGTTGATACTATTGTGTTGTCGCCTGGGTATCAGTCACCTCCTGAGGGCAGGAAAAGTCCCTGAGTCTAAACTGCAACCCAAGCTTTTACAAAACATTGTACTAAAATATATGAAAAATGTTCCATAAAGTTAAAAGTTGATGTCAGTGTAAGAAGTTTTAATTTTAGGAAAACCTTATTTGAGAAGCAGTGGCTCTAACAGGATATAATTTGCTCACTGGATAGGATATTATTTGAATAAAGGTAGATCTATGGTGAACATCATTTTGAAAGCTGATGAACTGACCGTTGTTTATCTACACACAGACGCTCTGTGCTGTGTGTATAGGACGTTGTAGAAAGCATGGTTGCATGTTGAGGCCTTTATCTTTAAACCAGAGACAAACCCATGACCCTCACAGACGATTCTCTTGTCGCTTGGTTTCATAGGAGGGAGGCAGAAATGAGTGAGAACAGACAAAGTGTGAGTGCTCATGTAGGGAGTGTGTTTACATCTGAGCAGTGAAAAAGCAAACTTTGCTCAAAGCGATAGATGAGTGCCATGGCGACTGACGAGCCTTAGTGTAGTTGTGGTGTCTGGCAGAGCCGCCCCCGAGTTGACCATGGAGAAAAGTAAACGCCGTTTCCTGCACAGATGTTGGAGCACAAAGGAAAACCACCGCACCTTATCACGTTTTACAGACGCCACATAAAAGAGCAGACTTAATGATACCATTTCCCTGATACATAATTTTTCTTTTAATCACCCAGTTCTGCATTTAAACAATTGAGGGAGCAAAACAGGAACATGTGCAAGGTGTTACATGACATAGTTTTCCATGGCTGCTGAAGGTGAACTCGTTCCTCTAGTGGGGTTGGCCCTCTGGCTTTTTTTTTTTTTATTTAATTTTTTTTAACCCGGACGGATCTCAGGCGTGTTGCCTCACGTTGTAGCTCAGACTGCATCAACAGGTTGCTCCAGTCCTGTGATCAGACACAACATCAGAAATGTTGCGTGTGGACTCAGTTCACTGTTTGTTTGATAAATTACACCTGTGGTTATTCAAGTACTTTACAAATAAAAGACTTGATGTCTACTGTGCAGGGCAGAAACATCACATTATTATAGACCAGAATGTCTTCTGTACCTGCAGCAGTATTTATTCATTCACTGTATGCAGCAGTTACTGCCATTGCTAACATACTGTTTACCTGCTCAGATATTAGCACGTTTGCATATGATTTGTCTTCAATCTAATGGATTGACTGAAGTGGAACTAGGTCTTATGTTGGTTTTTGTACGGCTGACTTATTTTTAGTCTCTTGCTGTTGCGATGTCCACCCTCTCTGCTGCTCGGCCAGGTGTTGTTGCCTGTATGGGTGATGTTTTTTTGTATATTGTCTCTGTCTTTATGTTTCTGTCAAGGTTTAGTTTTTTTTTTTATACGTTGACAAAGTTTTCTCCTGAGGATCAATAAAGTTAACCCTATCTTGTTCTATGGTAAAAGCAATATAAAAATATAATTTTTGACGCTCATACTGTCATTTCATCACAATATGACCACTGAATATAGATAAAAACAATTTTTATTATTATATTGAATAGTAATCCAACACTCCTGCAGTGCCTGGCTGACAGTCACAGAAGCTGTTCACAGTATCTTTCCATGTCTGATTTCCTGCATCATCGTTGCTGCTCAGAAAGTGGGTCAGAGCGGAAGGTTTGGGTGGGAAGATGAATCTATCATTCAACAGGACGAGCTGGTGTCATGAAGTGTGAGAAAGAGAGATGCAGGCAGCTTGCGCACATTTCCTGTTTGTTCAAAAAGCAGAAGTGGTCGAGGCTGCGACGGGAGCCTGCAGCTGCGCAACTTTTAACAGCCGTTACTTTCCACCACTAAATTCCATAACTTTCACCCTACCTCCCATGCACACACACTCCGTAATGTGATTTATATTTGTCTGAACGCTATCTCTTCTGCCCTGCAGGGATGGAGATATCCCCGCGCCCGAAAACAAAGGTAAACATTAACCCAGTTTCATTCCCTCCTTCTCTCCCTCCCACCTGCTGCTGGATTCCCTCTCTCCTTTGACCTCCTCCCTGAGAACATGTGGGCCTACACTTGTCTGGGTTGTTCTTTTATACAGGGACTGGACTTTGTCCTGGCAGCGTTTTAATATTTTGAAAGTTGTTTGTTATTACCTGTTATTTGTTTGTAGCAGCATTACACAAAAACTACTCGGATTACCACAACATTTAACATTGGGAGATAGTTTTGATGCGCCCTTCTGAGTGCCATTCTAGTTTGTAGCTTGTTTTGTTTTTCTTCATTTTTTCCAACCGTCCTCTCTTCATCATCTGATCTTCCTGATTTCCATATCATTTGCTTATAGCCTAAGCACAGTCACACGATTACCAGTTTGCCCAGGTTTGTATTTTTACAATATTCAATTTGTATTTTTTAATCTTAGTGATTTGGTTGCAGATAATTTTTCAAATAAAGTGTCTAATGCAAACTTGTCAAGCTGGTTATAGTAGACAGCATATGCAACTGGTGATGATGAGGAGCCAATACAGATAACAGATCCAATATGTCAGCTCTAAATCTACATTTAAAACTTGTATACCACATTGCTGGACCTCATTAGGATTTTTCAGTGTTCATGTGACCATATTTTCTGTTAACCTGAGTATGTTTATTTGAAATTCATAAAGTTTCCAATCATAACAATGTCTCAGACTGAAGTTATTTATAATATGTAAGAACAAAATATCAATAATCATCACAATATAATTTCATGAATAGGACTAAAAGTCTGTTATACTGTATATATCGTTTTATTGCTTATGCATTATGCAAACACAGTAAGGAGCTTATTATTATTATTATTATTATTGTTGATCTACCTCAGATTTATAAATTATTTGTTACTTCCTCCTCCTAAAAATTTAAAACCACAACCTCCACTCAGGAGTGATATTAAAACTTTAACCTTGATGATTTTTGGCCATATCGCCCAGTCTGCACACACAGATCAACATGTTCATGCTCTTGGTGTTACTGTGATTTAAGACCAGCAGATGGCAGTCAACACCCATTAAAGCATCCAGACCTTTAACACTGTAAATAAGTGAGTGTGTGGTTGCACATGCATGTGTGTGTATCTGCACTGGTACTTTGCTCACCACCTTGTTTGTCAGTCTGATGAAGGGAAGCAGCCGTGCCAGAGTGAAGAGCGGTGCCTGCTGGCTCAGCTGCGAGGCAGCAGTAGCAGAGTTAGAGATTGGCCGTGGGAGGCATATGAGGACAAGGAGGGAGAAATGGGGGAGAGCGAGTGCAGGGAGAGGTGAAGCAGACAGATCGAGCGAAGTGGAGGGGAGAGATTGATGAGGGTGGTGCTGCGACTGGAACGGCGATGGCAGCATCTGCTTGTTAGTCTAAGATAAAACTCCGTTGGCCATGGAGGACGGGTTCCATCCATTAGCCGGCCAGGCACTTTGCCAGATGGCCCGGTCTGCACACGTTCACTGCTGGGAAGAGAGGAGTAGCTGCAGCTCTTCTGGACCCATCTGTATAAATGTGCCAGGATGTTAATGCATGGCACTTATCACAGGCTGCTTCACAGGGTGCCACAGTTCAGTTGCTAAGGAATGGCGGATATCTAAAAGCTGGTGGGGGGGTGCTTCTTGATGATCAATATAGACAAAAAACTTTGAAAAACAAAGTAGATGGTGTCTAGAGTCTGAATATTTTCAGCATGTATGCGTTCCTCCTTATCAGATGTTTCCATCTTTTTATGGCTATTATTGTTATTGTTCTCCTTCAGGTTAAATCAACATGAGACACTTAACAGCTTTACACTTCGTGAAACCTGTAGCTGGTCATTCATTAACTGCAATGTGCTAAGCACGCAACTGGCTACTTAAACCAAAGCTTTAAAAGTAAAGACATTCCTCATATGATATCCATGGTTATTTGTTCACAAATGTCAACTAGAATGGCGTTATATGAGAAATTAAGGATGTTAGAGGTTCAGTGTGTAGAATTTTGTGGTGAATTTGCATGTTGCCTTCCAAACATAAAAAAACCTGTGGTGGCCTTCAATTTTTATGAAAACTCAAAAGGTGTTCAGTTTGTCCAGTATGGACAACTGTCAAAAACATGGTGGCCTCTGTAGAGAGGACCCACTCTCAATGTAAATGTAAAGTTTTTAAATATAAAGGGGCAATTCTAGTGCAAAGAAACAACAGTTTGTACAATTGAGATGAAACACGCTAATGAGAACATTGCTAGGATGAATTTATATTCAATTTCTGACAGTAGATCCCTTTCACCTAAATCTTACACACTGGATTTTTAATGAAAGTGAAAACAATTCTGAGACTGAGCAGGACTAACCTCAAACCATTTGCTGATCTGTTGCAGATCATCTGACAGAAAGTGACAGCAGTAGTTCAGGTGAGCATAAATATCTCACCAAAATATTCCATCTTTTCCACCTAACTCGTGAAGTTTTAGTCATCTGCAGAAAAGCTGATTTGCTGTGACATGTATTTCTTTTGTTTATAACCCAACGTCTAAAAAACTAAATAAATAAAAGTTAAATTAGATCAATGTTGTTCAGTACAAAGTTTTCAGCTCTCACATCCCTAATGTATTTATTTATTGAGCAGAGAACACAGGAACATCCACGGAGGAGAGCTCAGAGGAGGATGAAGAGGAGGATGATGGTGAGAGACACAGTTGTACCAAATTTTACATATCATGTCTTAATGGAATTACTTACAATTTTAATGGAAGTATGATTATTATTTATCTATTCTCTAGTTCTCTAAAGCAATGAAGCACTTTTCCCTAAATGTTGAACCACTCCTTTAATTTTTTTGTACATCACCCCCCCCCTTTTAACTTTTACCAGAACGCTCTGCTGAGAATGATGGAGGTGAACCAGGTAAAAATAAAACCACATAATCCATCTCAGAAAATATAGATATTTTTTAATAAGATTAAGAACTGACGTTTCACTAAGTTAGTCTCTGTCATATTTTTTTTTTTTAGAAACTGAAGACGGCGAGGCAGAGGAGTCTCAAAGGGGTGAGACAACATTATGTCTTTAAAATATCAGTACCTACATCATTAAGCCTAAACAATTAGACTGCTTTTTAAAGGAGATGTATTATGCTCATATTCAAGATTAGAATTTTAATTATTGTTATTACTTGAAAATGTTTTCATGCTCTTATGTTCAGATAACACATCACTTTCCTCAAACTGTGCACAGTATCGGCTGGACTACTGACGGGATGTTTTTCTGTAGCGGAGAGAGAAGCTCCCTTTAGCAAAGACTTCTATTCTTTGCAGAACTTAAAAATCAGAATATTTCTCTTTTAAAACTGTTTGTTTACATCTGGACCTCCTTGTCAGCGTCCTGTCATAGTTGCCTTTAGTAGTAACTCATTGAACTACAGCCCTAACCACATCTTAATGGCTGCCATATGACATAATTAAATGGCAGACCCTGCTGGCCTTTTATTAAACACAGAACTCGATGTAACTGAGCGTGCTCCACCCTCACTCCCAGCCAAACGATGTGAAAAGTTTGTCGAGGGTGTGGCTCAGGATTTTTGCAGCTGACACTCTATGATTTTCATGTGATAATATCTAACTTAAATTATTTTCTCTCCCTGTTTAAGAGCCAGCCGATGGAGCTGAAGCAAGGGTTTTAAATGGGAAAGGTGAGCAGATCATAACTGATTCCACAGAACTGCATTAAGACAGTAGCATCCGTTAAATACAACCTGATGTGTTGTCATGCTTTCTGACAGATGAGAGGTTTAAATCATGCTGTGAAAAATGCAAAGCCATCCAACAGGTGAGCAAAGACACCCGATGCCTTAGTTACAAAATGAGCTGGTTTTAAATGTCATGTTTGCCTGATTGCTCTTGAATCGAATTGATTAAACTGGTATAGATGTAATTAACAACCTTGAGGAACTTGGATAAGCCCCCTCTCCTGTCTTCTACATTTGCATCTTACTTTTCTTTTTCTTTTTTTTTTTTTTTTGATTGTGCAATCAAATAAACAAGCTGTGTTTTTCAGAGCCATGGCAATGAGCTCGTCACCCCCAGGAGGATCTCAAAGGGACGATTACAGTGAGTATGATGTTGCATCTCTGTGCTACTTTCACATTCTGTGCATCGTCACTGATTCTGTGTGTTTCTAGGGTGCAGCTGGAAGGCGAGGGAACGTACGAGTGCTCGGTCACCGGCCTGGTGTTCGAAGCCTCGGAGCGGGTCCTCGTGAGGTACTCGGTCTTGTCCTGGTCCAAGTTTGGCGCCTTCCTCCGCGACTCCTGGAAGTTTGCAGGACCCATCTTTAACGTCGACACGGTCAACAAGGATGCGTCCGTCATCAAGTCCATCCAGTTCCCTCACTCTGTCTGCCTCGCTGGTGAGAACACGAAGGTTTTCTCAGTACTATGATGAGCATAGTAGACCTGTGTTTGATTTTTAATTAAGATCTTTCTTGTCCATGAATGCTCCCTGGCCTGTGAAATGAATTTAATGATAAGTCGTATGAGAAAGTATTTTTCTTTCCATTTAAATTAAAAATATAACATCAACACTTACTTTGAGATTGGATTTAGATTTTAAAAAATGAAACGTAATTCTGGATTAATTGAGATACGATCCATGTTATGGCCTTTTCACACAAACTAGTTAATATTAATGTGTATAATTATCTCCTCTAAGAAAACCATCAAACCTTGTATCATCTTCACACAGATCCAGAAAATGAGATGACTTTCAGCGTCCTGCACATAAAGAACAACCTTCCACTTATTGAGCCGACAGTGGACCACTCAGGTAGCCATGTGAAATGGAACGTTACGTCCTTGTCCCCCGTGGGTCCCATCATTCAGACGAGCCAGCCTGTGGAGCACCACGGGGTGGTCCTGGTCTACAAGCAGCTAGGCAGCGACTGCAACAACTACAGCTTCCACATCTACCTTGCCACCAACAGCAAATCAGACATCACCGTAAGTATTTATGAACCGACCGTCTGTTTAGCCCATATTTGTCAGCTTTCAAAAGACGTCCACAAAGCAGAGCATAAAGATAAAGAGCCTCAAAGGGGTAGCTCACCCAAAAATGAAAGTTCATTCATTATCCACTATGCTGATGGAGGCCACTGTTTTTGTGGACTCAAACACTCTACCCACCCCTCCATCGGCAGAGTGGTGAGTAGATGAGTGAATTTTCATTTTTCTGTGTACTATCCCTTTAAAAATAATACGAGTGAGTCAAGTTTCATTTATCAGCGTGACAACCTTCTCATAACTTTTCACTTCCAGTGACCATATTATGTGTTTTTAAATTTTTCCCTGTGAAAATAAAACAAAACAAAATATTCCATTCATGAGACCAGAACCTGAGTCTTTCTAAATTTTCTAAGTATGACTTTGATTTAAAGCAACTTCTTGCTGGATAAAACTCCAGCAAAATGCCTCACCTATAGAGAGAGAAAATATGAAGGCTCAGAGTCAGAACACGACTTTCACTTCTCGTTTGATTTTTGTCACTGAGCTCTCCTTGATGCTATCACATGAAACCAGGTTTCCAGGTTTGTGTAATACAATGACATAAGTTTGTTGTGATGAGGAT